AATTATGTCCCCCAAAATCAAGTTGGCACAAACTTGTCTTCACAAATTTCTAACTAACTCCCATAAAGAAAGAGRCTCAACAATCCTTAAGGAGCACAAACCTCGAACTCAACTAAAACTGCCCTTTTAGCCTTCCATATGCATCAAATGGGCTTCAACTTTAGGGCTCAAGCATGGACAACAGTATCCGTTTCAATCTTGCCCTTCCTGAGTTATTCCTTATTGAAATCTATTTGTGGCCTACAAAGAAAACACACCCAAAACACCAGTTCCTTCTGACCTATCACACATAGCTTAAACTCCATATCATCTTTYGCTCCTATGCCTCCTTCACCTCATTTTCATTGCTATTTTTGTCACATATCTGGAAAAAAAACCACCAGAGATAAATGTTATTAGAGATATCTCTGAGAGGCAGCTAGATAGGATTCATTCAGTGTTGTTTGTGTCCCAGTATTCCCAAAAGTGAAGTGAAAAAAAAAAGAGAGAGATATTCACCTTTGCAGATTACATTGGGCTTCTGGGAAAAAAAAAAAAAAGTGGCTAAGACCCAAACAGTGCCAAAACCCTGAGCTGAACCAGAGCACACTGAACGTTATTCCAAACAGTTATATCAACAGCTTCTGCTACATAACTCAGACTGTCCTTATCCATGAGCAAAAGCTCCCACTTTGTATTTTTTTCATAATTCTCCAGAAGACATCAAGCTCTGCCTTAACAAACCACAGATAAGCAGTAGCTCCATGAAGCTTGCTGGAACTGTAAGCATTAAGCACAATCCACAAAGAATTTTTCCCCCTTTGTGAAATTTAACTCTGAAGAAACAGAATATTTTTTTTTCTCCTAAGCTAAATTCCATTTGGAAAAAAAAAAAAAAAAAAAAGAGAGACCTCTTTGCAAAATACAAATAAAGTCTGAAGGGACACTGCCACAGATGTTTTTCCCAAAACCAAAATATATATCTGTATTGTATCTGACACAAATATCCTGGGGCACTTCCAAGTCTCAGCTCACAAGAAAAGAATGAAATGGTCTCAGCATCTTTCACCTTTCCAGAAAATCTGGTCCTTGCTGCCAAGAAATAGGTTGTTTTTAAATAGTAGTTTCTTTCTTGGGTTGTGCAATCCCGCAGGTCTCTGAGGCTGAGCCTGCTTCTGCAAATTTAACATTTTCCCCAATGGTCTCCTTTGGAAAGATCCAAAACTAAAATAAATAAATATTACTCAAAAAGCAATGAAAACATAAGTTACTTTTGGTTTTAAATGTTCTGCAGCTGTTTCRGATAGCCAACTTAGGATCACCATCTAGTTCTTTGTTGAACTAATGAATGAGAAAACTAGCTGTTATGCTTAACATTCCCAGTCCTTGATCTGCTCAACACAGTGGCCTGTTTCTAATGGTGGCCATAAGCCACTGTCCCCAAAACAGTGTACAACGAATGTAGGAGATTGGACTAGGTATCTCCTGAGGTCCTTTCCAACTTGAATCACTCTGCGATCTGTTTCCCTCAGTGTTACTATTCCACACATTGAGCCTAGTCTCGAGTTACGTAAACATCCAACAACTAGTTGGACCACGTGCCAAACTGCATCTGTTGCTTTGATCTTAGCTCTAATGAGCTTCATTTCATGTCCCTCAGTTTAATTTAAGGTAAAAGAAATATAAAATCATCATCTTGGCGGGAAAAATAACTAAATGTTAAAATAATAATAATAATAGTATTTCAGTATCATTTGTTACAGAATTCTGCATACGAGAACCTTTTAATGCCCTGCGTTCCCCACACATTTTCCAGTTTGGAGATGAGGGGAAAAAGAGGCCTAGTCCATGACTTGCTTCAGTTACCACTGTTGGTGTCAARCTCCCCTGGCACTGTGCCAGCCTGCACAGCAGCTTGGGAACACTCGCCCCAGGTCATAAAGATAAAAAAAAATAAGTTCTCATCTTCAGTCTCCAAACAGGCACAGGAGCCTGTAGGAAGTCTAAGCTGTCGGTCTCATCGTGCCTGCAGTTCCATGTGGCAGCCTCAACTTCCATAGGAATCAAAGCACCCAGCCTGCGTGGTAAGAGAATTAGTGAAGCTGCCCTTCACACAACTCTCCTGTTCAGGATTCAGGCATCTAAAAGATACAACACAATAACAAAACAATAACAATACGTAATCCGGACGATCAAGACTCAAAAACTGCAAAATTAACAGGAACCACTGAATAATGTATTTTTTTTAATCCATTGGGTTTTAAAATATCACCTAGTTCACTCTTGGTAAACCCTAATAGTTGTGTCCAGATCATTAAATTAGTTTGTTTCGCATCAAGCCATAACTTCTCRCTATGCCAAAAGGAAGGGATCTTTCTCAAGAAACAAACTAATATTCATAGTTTGTTTCTCTATTCTAGCTTATTCACATTCCACAATGAATGAGAAAGTTCGGACTGTGGACAGTAGGTAGGGGAGAGAACAGCTAGAGAAGGACTGTTTTCCAGAATGCAGCCTTCTTGCTCCACATATGGCTTTCCTTCCTCTTCCTTATGTGCCCAACATGCATTTAGCTGCATTTTGTTTCAAAGGCCCCAGTCAGAAAGGCCATACCTCTAGAAGACCCTGCTGCCCTCATCTTTATTTATGCTTTAAGAACACTGTTTGTTTATCCTTTCAGCAATAACTGAATTTTCTTTAAGATTACCGATGAAGATATACTAACCAGTGACAGCTACACCCTGTACTAATCCTTGAAACACCCAGTGAGACAAACTCCTGTTGAAAACTCACCTCTTGATTGCCATGTTCTTAGCTTCCTCCTTGCAAGTCTTTACTCACTCGATATGACTGGCGGCAGTGAGCACCCAGTGAACCCAGCTTTGCCTCCAGACAAACAGCCCTCACCCCGGGACAGAACACTTAAATGCAGCTCCTCGGATTTGTTTGAGGCTCTACGAAGCAGTAGAGATCTCAATAGTGCATGAAGGAGGAAAATCTGGTCAAGGAGCCTTGTGAAAATAGCTCGCCTGGCCACTGAAACACTGCGCTCCACTCACCRTAAGAGAAATGTCTTAAAATTCATTGTGGGAGTAACACGACAGCTCCCCTTTTCCTTGCACGGTGGTGTGATTCAATAGGAGAACGGAATCCATCACGTTTAGTTGCTTTTCCTCCACAAATAACCTGCCCATCACCTCAGAAAGATAACAGAAAAACATTCCCCTCAAGAGAGGGGAAGAAAAAAGAGTTGTTAGCATATAATGAGGATTTATGCTAATTACAGATCATTATCTTAAGAATTCTGAACTGTACATCAGTATAGATGAGTCTTCTAGATAAGCCTCCATCAGCCAGATTCTTCCATTTACATTTAAGAAAAGCTGCTACATATCAACCTTCAAATGAAACTAGCAACCCAGGAGAAGTCTGMTACAGAAAGCATACATCTGTAGGTGCTCATGGACATCAGTTTTCTTTCTCATTTCRAGAAAGAAAAAAGTCTTTCTTTTGCACCATAAAAAGCTTGATTAGAAGAATAATGCCTTAGGCAAACCCTAGAGGTGGAAACAGCTTGAAAGAAACACTGTGCTGAAAAACTAAGTCGATGCAATATTAAACAACTGGARTCAGAGAAATGGGGGAAAAAAACCCTTAGAGAGACAGACTGTGAATTCCTTTACAGTGATTTGACACAAACCTAATTCTGCTAATTGGAAATTACAGTAGCTATAGCATTTACTCATACGCCCCTCCTGCCCCAGCTAACAGCGACTGCTGGCCTAGACACATTGGCCGTGACCTCCACATCCCTCCCTGTGTCCCACTTCCCTTGGCTGCCAGGGAGCGGGGATGGGGCACGTCATGGGGAGCTCGAGCGTGCGACCAGAGCATTTTTTCGGCATCAGAAATTAAACAACACCAAACGTCTGGCTTCTCCCTGGGGATTTGTCTTGTACTGTCCATATCTCCAAACACATGGGCTGGGGCTGAACGGGTGCCTGAGCTATCCCCGGCTAGGTGCATGCTCACCAGTTCCCAGCAATGGGAAAGGAAGGCTTTCCAAAGACGTGCCCATCCCGACCTGATCAAGCTTTTTAACCCCACTGTTATTTCCCTCCAGCACAGCAGCCAGCTGCACATTTCTCAGTCCCCCTTCACCTGCCACCACGAGGCCCTTCCCGTTTGTCCACCGCCACACCAAAGGCATTTGGAAGATCCTCATCAGAGCCAGCAGGTCGGACCGCCCGCCTTGAGCAACCCGCGCTGCCCGGAGGAGCAGCGACACCAGCGGGGCTGGGGCAGCCTCTGCCCCACCTCCCAGCCCCACACGTCCTCCTGGCCGGGCGGTAGCGTCACCTCTGCCCCAGGCACGGGCAGGCGCCGCCTCACCGCAGGCTGACCAGCCCTACGTCCACCCTGCYGAGGCCACCAGGGCGCTGGGGCCTGCCGGCACGCCGCGGGTTGCAAAAGCAGAGTGGGCCGAGTCACGGGCCTGCTGTTAAATAGCCGGCACCTCGGCCCCGCTCGGCACTCAGACCTCCTGGCRCGGCCTCTCGCCCTGGTGCCGCCGTGGCCCGTGGCAGCCATGCTGGGAAAGGCGGCCACCACACCAGCGCTGCTGGCTCTGCTCCTGCTCCGCCTCGCGCTGGCACAAGGTGAGTCAAGGCCACGGCAAGGGCACCGGCCACAGCATTTTGTCCAGTCCCTTGCACAGAGCCAACTCCACMGCTGCCAATCTGAAATAAGATCCACACACAGAAGGGATTTACTCACAGAGTTTTCTTTTTCCCTGGGCAAATTCCCACCTTGGATCTCTGATCTGTAGAAGCAACTACATACCTGTAGAAATAACTTTGCTTTTCAGATTTTTTCATCGTTTGTGTATCTTTTTGTTTGTTTGTTTGTTTGTGCTTTTTTCTCYTTTTCTGCAGGTACCCCTGTTACTCCTCTGCTTGAGGCAACCAGCATGGAGCCCAGCAGAGACTCCAGCGTGCAGCCCAGCACAGGCTCCCCCCTGGACTACAGCACAGAGCCATCCAAGGCGGAAGCCATGGGACAAACCGGGAACAYGGGAGTGCAAGAGAGCGGAGAGACCACTTGGGAGCTGAGTGGAGAGTCAAGCACCGACCCTACCCTCGACCCAAGTGTGGAGCCTAGCACAGAACCAACCCCGGTGTCAACCACCGGATCTGGTGAGACCCGTTTTGTCTTTGAGCACTCACCTGTTACTGCTATCTAACTTGGTTACCCTCATGCTCCCACCTTACCTGCACCACAGGGGAAAGACACTTTAAAAATAACACTTTATTTTTTCACTGCAATGAACCTCTGCTCTGAAAAGAAGGGTCAAATTATCTTACATAGAAGAAAAAAAAATGAAGATGTAGAATTTCAATGACTTCAAACCAGCAGGGGCTGTGTCATCATCACATTCATCCCTACAGAGCTGCCTTTCACCTGCAAAGGAATTGCACAATCTGTCATCTAGACTAAGATCTCCTCTCAAATAGCAGGAGCCTCCAGGCTCTTCGCTCTTTTATTAGGGCTATCAGCAGCCTCTCTAGAGGTCACAGCAGGGCACAGAAAGTGGAAAGAGGACACACCTAAAGGATTAGGATTTTCCCAGCAGCCTCATTCCCAGTGTGCTTTCAGGGTGATTAGCAAGACAATCCAACTTTGCCTTCCATATTCCTTTACTGTAGTCCATATCATCTGCCTCATCTTTTGAAAATACTCCTGAAAACAATTCCTTTCAAATTTTCTTGCTTTTTTTTTTCTCCCATGATCACTAAGCCCATCTCCTCACCTACTTCAGTGGCATTTATCTATATATGTACTAGGAAAATAGTAATATTATAACTGCTTATTGCAGTTTCAGAGAATGGAGCAACCCATGGAAGTAGTCAGTACTACCACCACTAATATAACAAGGCAGCACGAGGGCAAAATCTCCTGTAAAACATCACCCCTCGTACCAGCAGTGAAGCACTGAGACCCCAATTATTTTAGCAGATCAATATGGGAGAAACACGGGTTAAAAGAAAAAAAAAAGAAAAAAAAAAGGTCACTCATGCTACTCACTATCTCAGAGTCTGAATTTTGATTCCTTTCCTACAGTGCAGTGCAATGTGCACTGCTATATCTCTGTGTTTCTTATTGCCACAGTGAGCTGCTTTATCATAAGCTCAGCCTCACTGATGGGTAAAGGGACATAGCTTCCTTATCAGATATTCATTCTTTGGGGCTTTTTTCTCCTTTTTTAAAAAGGGAGGAATGTCTTTTGTGAAAGACATTAGAAATAAGGATCCTGTAAACAGACAGAAGAATCTTCTGTACACTTAGGAGAAGGATTTTCTTTGTGTTTTTTTTTTTTTTTTGATAATAATTGACATAAAAACAATCTTAATTTCCCTGATATTCTTATAAAGCAATTTGCCAAGCCCAAACTTGCAATTCCAAGAAGCTCTACCACTTTGTACAGCATTTCTACATTCACTGTCTTTGTTTTTACCCTAGAATGAATTGCAACATCAAATCCTGATGGAAAAGCAAAAGCCACATTCACCTGCTGAGCTGACTTCATTGCATGTGAACACAAAATCAGTGCTTGCAGAACTGGATAGCAGGGCAGCCTAAGACTACAGCTTGTGGGAACAGAGTAACCATGGCCTTCAGTCCGTGAACTTGGTTTCATTCTTGCTTACTTCAACAGCAACAGTTTAGTTCCATCACAGGTAACCTGTGCTGTTGCTTCCTTAGTAACCAGAAATAAAGTGTGTCAATGCAACTATATGCCTTGTCGTTACTGCAAAACCTATTCTAACTCCATAAAAAAAAAAAAAAAAAAAAAGGGGGGGGGAAAATCAGAGCTTTTTTTTTTTAAAGTTTCCTCTTAAACTTCTTCCTCAACAACTGATATATATTTTTGTTTCTTTTCTTACTGTTAACTTGTGATCAAGCATGTGTATGGTACTCAGCATTTAGGAACAGGGTTGCAAAAGTATTTTCAGAAGAGCTCCAGAATACACCAGCATGGTTCTTTACCATCTAAAAGACATCAGAGGAGGGGACTGTTCAAAACCAAGGCTGTTGTTTAGCTGATTACTCTACCAACATTTACCCCATAGAGGCTGCAACATGCAAAACTACCCCAGAGGGATTTCGTGGCTTACAGGTACAATGGCACACAAGTCACTTTTTGGAAATATTTGAATGTATGCAGGAATGTCCCTGCATAGGCAGGAATGTGTTAGCTAACTCACCTCATTACTTCTTATCTAATATCCAAGCACTTTCTACTGCCTAGGATCAGCTGCATCACTCCTTGTTTGGTACTCTTACTGCTGGAGTAAAGAGATGTTGGTTCCTTCAGAGCCTTCACAAGCTTACAGTGTACAGCAACACACAGGTAACATAAACTAAAACCAAGTGCAGATGACCAAGTTGACCAACAAACACACAAAAGAACAACAAAAACATACGTATTGCAGCAAAAGAGTCTCCGTAGCCTCAAGTGCCTGCTGCAGTGCAGGCAAAGCAATTGTATGGTTCTGGAAGAAAGGATAAGCAGTCCTGGGTTACCAGCTTTTCTACCTCATTTTTTTATCCCTAACTTGGAATCTTCTAATTCCTTGTTTGTTAAATCGTAAATAAGGAAGTTCCTAACTCTAATTCCTCCTTCCTCAAATGAAACAGAAGCTCTCTAAACGCATCATGTCCGAATTGGTGAACTTCTATTAAAATTATGCAGATCATCAACATCATGGAAAGCAATATGAAAAATACTCAGTATCACAACCAAAGCACATTGTGGTTCCATATTGGTAACCAACCTCAGCATTCCCTTTGTAAAATTGTTCTTACAATCTGTCAGTGTCACACTGTTGTTTGAAGAGTAATCCAGCTTGGTACAAACTAGTAAGATAAAAGATAAATAAAAATAAATAAATGAGATTAATGAAGAGTTTAGTAATAAATATGGTGTCAGATGTGTCAGCAAGGGTATTTTGACTTGCAATGAGTAAAACGAACACACGGTGGCTCCAGATACAAAGGCTTTTTAACAGACTTTAGCTTCACGTTCACACAAAAATACCACTGCAACAAGTCAACTACCTCTGTAGCATCAAGACTGAGAATAATAACATAAAAAACAAACAAACAAMAAAAAAAAAAAAAGCAGGCAGAATCGGCCCAATTCTTCCTGGGCAATGCAGAGTTATTTTTGTAGTTGTTTTTTGTTGCTTCCCCTGGATCATTTACCTGGTCTGGATAAGGGCAAGGGCTCCTTCCCTTCCCTCCAATACACGTATTTTGTAAAAACATCTTTAGAGGATGCTCTAAAGGAAACAGGATTCATCACAGAATATGTAAGAAATTCAGTTCTTAAGAGCAACAACAAGGAGTGAAATAAAGCAGCTTTCCTCTGTTTCCCAAAACTCTTGCCACTGAAGGTGGAAAGGCTGCAAGCAATTTAAAAGTGATTTAATCAATGTAAAGGATTCATTTTTAAAAGGTTATTGTGAATTACCATAGAGGGCACTGATACCACATACTCAGCTTCAAGTATGATCTGTAAGACTGCCAAACCAGATTAGTCAGTGATGAACACAGTAAGTTGTCTGCTTGGACCTTAGCTGTACAAACYCTAAGCTGCAAACACGGAAAACTCCTCTTTCTATGAACTATTTATTCATAGTTTATTCATTATGAGGTTTCTCAGACYTTTTTTCCAAGGCTTCTAAARCAGAAAAGAAACAGTTCTTTTAGGCACACGGTCCATGGTCTACACAGGTGGCCTCATTCACCTTGATTCTCACACCTGCCACAGTAGGAAGAAATCCCTCAGGTGTCCTSAGTAAGAGCTCTCATGGCAGAAATCAACATAAGTCTTGCTAATGTCAGCTATTTATAGCTGACATAATAGCTAACAATATTGCTAAAGTCAGCTATTTATAGCTTAGTAAAGTTTTACAGGTGTCTGTGCTTTGGTAAATTCATCATAGTGGGATAAAGCACTGTCTCCCCTCCTGTATGAAGCAACTTGGTTTAATAAGGCCTGCTAGGCCTGAGTGAGCTGAGCTAGACCTGGGCTAGGCCTGTGTTTCTCCAGCACGGCCAGAATGTTGCACTATTTACACTGTTTCATTACATTTGTCCTCTCTTCTCTTCAAAAAGAGGCTTTCAGGAAATTAATCGGGGCGCCTGTCACGCAGTTTTGTTATTCGCGTTAGATTGTAGTGAGAAGGTAGATGTTTTATTTAGAGCTCTGCAGTGAGGGAGCCCAGTTTCATCTGCTTTGGCCAAACCACACCAAATTAAACCTCAGGGACGAGCAAGAATGCACAGCAGGTGAAGCTGAACACCTGCCAAAGCTAAGAAGAGGCTGCCCCATACATTACAAGAAAGTACAGGTAAGGATACACAGCATGTGTGTATAGGTGACAGCTCCAACAGGTCATTCCACGTTTGTAGTAAGAGCAGAGTGAAACATGCTGGCAGGGACAGGGCATTGCTCCTTGGTGCTGCTTCACTCAGCAGCAACAAGCACACCAAGTGCTATACTCAGTATTCCCACACCGGTGCCGAAGTGTTTCTATAACACTAGGAACAGAACAGGCTGAGGGCAGCACTGCAGAGCCAAGACTACTTCATCTCCAAGGAGGAAATTTGGGCTGCAGAGGCAGGAAGCAAGGCAGTGTTCTTCATATGACCCAGAAGCTGCAAAATAAAGCAGTCTTGCTCAGCAACAACTATAAAATATTCAGTAGGTATCTCTCTCCGTGACCTGATAAAATGGATAGCTCAGGGCCAGAAGGCTCACTCTGACATCTCAACATTTTCCACTGTGAACCTGATGCAAATTATTACCAAACACCAAATGGTGCCATTAGAGCAAACAGCAAAACACTAGACAGACTTTTAAGATAGCATCTCTCTCTTGGAGGAAAAAAAGAAAAAAAAAAAGTTGCTATTTATTCAACACTGAGTGAGACAAATATCTGAGGGGAGAAYGTAAAGAGGATAGAGCTTAATTATTCTCGGGGATGGCCAGTGACAGAACAAGGGTCAATGGGTACAAACTGAAACACCGGGGTACAAACTGAAACAAAGGCAGTTCCATCTCCATGTGAGGAAGAACTTCGTTTCTGTGAGGGTGACAGAGCGCTGGCACAGGCTGCCCAGGGAGGCTGTGGAGTCTCCGTCTTTGGAGATCTTCCAAACCCACCTGGATGCCGCCCTGTGCCCTGTGCTCTGGGTGTCCCTGCTGGAGCAGGGGGTTGGACTAGATGATCTCTGGAGGTGCCTTCCAACCATCCATTGAACAGGATAGGTAAGGAAAGGTTCAAGTTTCACAGATGTGAAACCTGAAGTCCACTTAAGAAGGTGACTTTAATCCCTATGAAGAGGATTAAAAGGGCAGAAGACGAGCAAAAATGACAAAAGGCAAGGATAACTGTGCTTCAACTGAACATTTTAATAGGGATGGATACAATTAATATATTGTGAGGCAATTAACAATTTTCACGGAAAACTTATTACTTTAGTGAATAAATTATTGTAGGTCAGCTGAACAAAAAGACAAGAATTGATTAAAGATACTGCAAGCCCACTGAAGAACTCTTCCACTGCTGTAGTTGCTATTTTCACTGATGTATACCCCAAAAAAGGTATTGTTATGACTCTCATTTCTCCAGAAGTCTCCATTGCATCTGCCCCAAGCTACCAAAGGAGGAAAATCTCAGCCTCCAGGGCAGATCATTCCAATGACTAAGTCATTAAATGATTTAGAGTCCATTATYGGGTGGGCAGCTCTTTGGTAAAGGTGCAGCAACAGATTCTTTGCTTTCTGTCAATGCTCTKGGCTGATGGATAAAAACACTAAACTTGACGCCTTGGTTAGCTGCTGCCCTCACAAAACCACTGTTGGCCGTCATGGTGATGGCTTTTAAAGAGTCTCCCGTCCCAAAGATGGCTAGAGAACGGCTATTGATTTTGGAACTTGCCACTAGTCCCAAGGCACGTTCAGATGGTTGATCTGGCACCACTTTAATTCTTTTCACTAGCAAGGCAGCTCGTTCCCTCTCCCCAGGTCCTCCCAGGGTTTGCAGGATGGACTGGAAGTCTCTAACAGCAGATTCGCAGGCAAAGAGCTCTTTCCCTTCCATGAACTCGTCCAACTGAGGCAGAACTCTCTCACGTCTCTCTTGAGCTGCTTGCTCCGTTAGCACTTTTTCCTTGAAGATGAAGTAGCAGCCACCATAGCTCAGAGCAGAGACGTAGGTAATTAAGGTGGTGATGTCCAAGTTAACTCTATTGCACACATTCACTTTGATCTGGGTGGGAAAAGCAATGCTGGCCACTAAATTCTCCCGGTCTACTCTGGTCACCTGCAGGAGTTCAGGGCCTTCTTCATCTGATTCCCCAGCATTTTGGTGCTGGGTTGCTGTAGATGGCTCTACCAGGGAGTTCACAGCAACGATGTCTCCCCGCACAGATATTCCCATCTCCTTGAGTCTCTCTGCCATGGGACTAGACACGCTGTTGTAGAAGGCAAAGATTATGTGGGGATTGCTGTACTCCACGGGCTGCTGACAGCTCGCTTGTAGGAAGTCCTCCGCCTGCTCAATGACGCTTTTGTCACCGTACTGGCCCCGTCCCAGCCAGATGTTATGCAGGGCCTCGGCCTTCCGGCCGATGGCCTTCACCCACGTGTGACCTCCGTTGGCGACGACATCAACCACCAGCGTCTGCTTGTCGCCGAACCTGTCCTCATAGGCAAAAACGTGGAGGACACTGACAACATCCTCTAGGTTCTCTGCTGATTGAATAATGGCTTGGAGGTGGGTCAGGTTTGTGCTCTGCAGGTGGGATTGTTTAATAGCCACTTTCCCTGCCTCCACCTTGCGTAAGAAATTTAACTCGGCCTTCAGCTTGCTGCACAGCTTTGCCCCACCTTGTACATCCCCCTTCTGGGACTTGCAAAGGGCTTCGGCTCTCTTGATTAATTCTTTGGCAACTGCGATTCTTTCACAAAGCAGGGACTGCACAGACATGTTGGTAACATTATTCCTGTCAAGGGCAAGCAGAAGAAAAGCGTGTTGCTGCACAGTGAGGAACAATCAGAAGACATTTTGCAATGGTACATCCATCAGAGCTTTGCAGTACGTTTGGTACAACACACAGAGCTATTGCAAAGCACGAGCAACAGGAACCTCGGCACCATTCCCAATATGCTCAGTATCTTTCTAAAATTCCTCTGGGGATCCAAGCTAGAGCCTCAGAGGACCCAAGTTCTCAACAGCATTCACATCTCCGCRGATACCTTGCAAGATTCTCCTCGGCACACCTGAACCCTTAACACTGAGCTAGTTGTTAGAGGGATCTCAGCTCTCCAAGCTCATGTGCAGAAGTTGCCATTGCACCCTGTTATGCCATAAGCAAATGTTGCCTGTCTTTCCCACCAAGGTTACCATTCCAAACTAAAAGCTACCTAAGACACCTAACATTTCTATAAAACTATGAAGTCTGGCTCCCAGCAGCTATTTTTAACAAAGCATTCAGGAAAATCCTGTTTTTTACAGTTGTGAGCAGTACAGCCCTGTACAGCCCTGTATCCCTGCAGCTTCAGAGTTACTCTGCAGAATCCAGCAAGGAAGAGAAAATGTCCTGTTCTCTGGCTCACACAAGTAAAATTATATGGTGTGTGGCATCATATAAAAGTCCAGTCCTTTCCATCCACTTCACTCAGTATGTCTCCCTGAGGTAAAAACAACAGGAATTACTTAATTATATGTAGGCTGGCTTTGAAAAAATGTATTGCTAAATGTATCAGAAGAAAAAATATGTCCTAAAGCCACACTAACCATACATGAATACTTCAGTGGGGAGTCAAAGGGATTCATTTCACTATATATATGCACTGTAATTTTTGGCTGAATTGTGCATCAAATGACATAGACTGGCGTTAAATGGCAAGACAGACAAGGCTCCAGCTTAACCTGAGCGAGAGTATAAAGCCCAGGTATTAAAAAAGGCTCTGCCGGTACAACTTCTGAACCCGGATTTATCAGGTAGCTGAACCCACATCTGCATTACATGCCAATCTGGATACCCTGCGCTAGGTCCWACTGGCTCCATGAGCACTTAACCCCAACAATACACGGGCAAACCTGACACAAAGCTCTTAAACGGGATAAAAACCTGAAACATGAAGCACTTGTTTGCAACAAAAGAACTGCAAACGTGAGGTGGTTTCACTCTTAAACTAGAAGCGCCCAGACTGAGTACCCCTAAAGAGAATTTTATTTTTGTTTTTAAGCCTTGGGCGGTGTCTCGGGGCCTGAGAGCTCCTCGGGGCTCCCCTGCAGCGCCGGGGCGCGCTGCCCGCTCGCAGGGCCCGCAGCCCGGGCCCGCCATATCACCTGCCCCAGCCCGCCCCGCGCCGCCATTACAGGATCCCCCCCCGCCCCAGACCCTCCGCCGGCGCCCCCGCCCTGTTCACGTGGCGGCGGCGCCATCTTGAGTGAGGGCAGGGCGCCCTCAGCGCTGCCCCCGGCCCYGCTCGGCGGCGCCCGCTCCCGGCCCCGGCTCCCCGCGCCGCCCCGGCCCGGCCGAACCGTTCACGGCGCTCCCCGCTGCCTCCCCGCAACGGGCAGCGGCGGCCGCTACTCACACGCTGGCACCGAGGGCGGCGGCAGGAGGCGGCCCGGCCCGCAGCGCCTCCCCCGGGCCCCGGGCGGGGACAGCGGCGGCCTCAGCCCGGCCCCGAGCGCCCGGCTCTCTCATCTGACCCAGTCTTAGGCTTTGAGGTGGCTCTCCCCCCTGAAATTACGTTTTCTTAAATCTGAGGGGCCTAGAAGCACAAAAGAATGACAACAGATCAACTCTTCTTACCGCAGAAGGCACCTAACCTAGTGCAAGCCTTGGTCTTTTCTAGAASAGCTATCTACATTTTTTATTCACTAAAATTAATACTTATAGATCACAAAAGTTCACTAAAGATGGAGAAGTATTCAAGTTGCACTCTGCCTTTCTGAACGACTCAAAGTCTGGATGAAAGCTGTAACAATCTAAATCGTCCCCTTTCARTTTCCAGTTGTTAATTCTCACTACCAGAGGAATCAGAGCAGAGTTATTTCTGAGAGAAAAATACTGAAAAGTGATGTGGAGTGAGTCTTTAGGAATCATCTGGATATAGCTTTTTATTTCTGACATTGTCAAATAAAACTCCACGTCATGCTTCAGAAAGTCTTACTTGCCTAATAAAAACATTAAAAAAAAAATCAAACCTACGAAAGAACAGATTAGAAAGTTTATATGTAATTTTCTGTAGACTAACTCATAGCATATCTTTTTTCTTTACAGCTGGCTATCACTTAGTCTGCCAGGCCACTACCATCTCAGCTCATTCTTACATAGAAGTCATCTGGCTATCATTCCCAGTTTGCTTTTCATTATCAACATTAAAACAGACTGCTTCAAAAATATAAAATCTGCAAAAATTCAAAAATCTGCAAACATCACTAAATAGCTACTGACCAGATTTCTGATAACAAAAAGTATATATATATATAAATATATATATATATAACTGGTTCTTCAGTTCTTTATGTAACGTATGTTTCTACAGAAGCTTAAAGACATTAACACAAAGCAATATATCTATACATATATTGAAGGATCTAGATCTGTACCTGTACAAATTGTGATATGTAGGCCAAGTGCTCTTTACATTAACTTCCACTTTCAAGAATGGAAAATWATTTATCATAATTCAACAGCTAAAATCACTGCATTAAATATGCCCATTTGGCTTTGTACATAGTATTCACTTTACCCATGTGGATAAAAGCATCTGGTTTCGAGACAGTAGCAATTTATGTTGCTTTCATTATTTCTGGGGAAAAACACACAAACAGAAACATTCCCAGGGCAATGAAAACCACCCAAGTAACAGAAAACACATATACCTTGCAGACACAAGTCTAAGATCCCAGCTCCTTCAAGAGCAGAGCTGAAGTAAACCACAGTTTATATCCCATATGGATGACTCTCTTCTGCCTCTTTGTGAGAGTACCTGATGTTTTACAGAGTAACCCACTTTTCTAAGTTACTTTAAATAGTACTTAAACAGAATTGCAAGAGAAAAAAATACCTTCTCCACTAACAATTTTTTAAAAATTCTTTTAACAGAATATCTAACATCAGTTTACTACAGCTGATCCACACGAGGAAAGATCTGTTTCTTTAATATAATAAAGATACTGAAATCTCAGCTTTGTGTAGATAAACAAGCTATGATTAAAAAGACACACAGACATTGTCCCCCAAAACAGTGTCCTTCAAATTTTATTCTTTAGCCTTTATAAGCTTTCATTATAACTTTACATTTTGTACAGTACTTTGTGTACAAAGATTCCACGTATCAAGGGAAAGAATTAAATGTAGTAAGATTCAATGTATTACAATATTAGGACTCTTCCATTTGCACCCATGATATTTAAAAAAATCTGTCAGACAAACCAAGTAGAAATAAGTATGCAAAACTGCAAACAAAAACATTTAAGTGGCTAAAATTAAAAAGATCTGTGTGAATTCACATAGTCTTGCTTGATTTTACTAGGCTATTGCAGCCAAGTAGTCTTTAACCTCAGTTGGAGTGAGCCTTCTAAAACCAGCTTCATTGCAGATGCCAACTTCAATGTTGTCTTCTGTCATTTGCCCTTCAAAGCTTTCCTATAAGGAAAGAGAGTTCAGGGAATAGAATTAATGATCTGTGATCCTGTGATTTCTTACTATCATCAATTTATGACAGTAGGAAACGTATTTCTTTAATATTTTGCTAACCTTTAGTGTTAAAATAGCTGTGTGAATGGCATCTTCAAGTTCCAAATCTTCATTGTATCTGTGAAAAGAAGATCTCRTGTTTCAGCCAACAAGCACAGATATTTCAAAACTATAAAAATCTTAAAGTTTCAAAACACAAGCAGTGCTAAAATTATTTTTTTTCCTACAAATATCATTGATAAGCACTGATTATTAATATTGAAATGAATCATTGATAAATGTGAAGTATTTCACCACTGTTCATACTGATAAGAACAAAATATCTACGTTGAATACACTGTGTACTGCGCTGAGATAACTCTCCATGAATACAAAAGCTGGAATTTTCTTTAAGCAAGGTAAATTTCCTATGCACTTGTTAACATACAACACTTCTAGCTTCCTTAAAGTATTTTAAAACTTTGTTCTGATCATTTGAACGTATGCATTTTTTGCCTGGCTGCTCTAATGGATCCTGAACAAAAGAATTATTGTTTCAGACATATATTAAACATTACCTTTTCTCAAGGAATGTCTTCCCATTGACATAATTTTTTCCCATTGCTGTTGCTTTCCATGCAAAGTAAGCTCCCTGTAAAAACAACAACATATTTATACACTGAATTATCCTGAGTAACTTGGTCAAACACCATTTTCGTAAAAAGTACAAGTAATATATTGGAAATATTAGATTTACTGCGAACATAGGAACTCTTTTGAGCCACAGACTGATTAAATATGTGAACCTATACTGTGAAAATACCCAGAACATTTGTTCATCTCCAGTTTTCACAATCCCACTACTTTGAAAGGTGAATGTAGTACTTCACTGGTGTACCCCTAATTTGGAATTCCTTAGACAGAAAACATTTTTGCCTTCAAGAATACATATGTTTGGTTCTTTTGTAAAGCCTGGAATGCATTTTTCTTTCTTTCTATAGTTACAAATCGCCCAGTTGTTTTAGCTAATAATAAGACTATTTAGCCATCTGTCTTATTCTGAAGTGAGGACCATCAACAGTTCTATGCATCATTCAGGATGTTTCTCAGAAGGCATTTTCATATTGCTTTTTATCTACAAACATCTGTCAATAATTAAAATTTCTGAAATTTCCCAAGAATCATGACAGCAACTCATTCTTTATTTGATGAAAAGCGTTGTAACTAGCACAGGAATCCAAAGTAGGTTTTATTAGATGTGCAATGCTACTATAGTAAACTTATTCAAATTAGCCACTGTGATCACTAAAGTGTAAAGCAGGTTCGCTGCATTTCATGATGCAACTGATTGTGCCCTGATTTCCACGCAGGTTAAGGAACACTGCTTGAGYGACACAAGCAGTCAGATGCCTATCCTGGCTCCTGAGCTTAATGCCAGATTCTCCCTGCTACTGCCAACTAGGTGGAGAGGATTGAAAAAGGATGGTGATCTCTCTCTGCAAAAATTGCCACCCCTCAAAAGCAGTGCAGAAACAGGCAGGCCCTGTATTAGAAGGTGCTATCCGCTTCCTATGCTTCCTTCATACGGCAGCCAAATAGCCAGGCTTGCTCCCAGCACCCACTGAAAACGGCTCCCTCTGACTTGAGTAGGGATTTTATTCTTGCTCTTGCAGTCTTCCATGGGCGTTTATAAAGTTTCAGGTGTTTCATACGAGCAACAGAGTTTTCAAGTGCTGAATACTTACAGACGGATCCGACTGAAATAAATAGGGCCGCCCTTCATTCCAACCACATATTAGCAGCGACACCCCGAACGGTCGAACACCCCTGCAAGCAAAATGTTAACACAGAAATGACTTCAAAGCAGTTCTGAAACGTGGATGGCAACCCACAAAGCTGACTGAATTATTTTGCACGTGTTCATCTTCCCCAAAGGCCTCCCAGCAGCTCAGATCTGCTATCAGGAATGACTACTCAACCACCACCACCACAAAAGCCTGCTGGCTTTTCYGATATGTATTTCCCCCTCCAAGCCATTAACAGTGCGTTTTGCCCACTGCCAGACAGTGGTCCCCCCACCATCCTGAATGGGCATCCTCCATTCAGGAAGTTTAACTGCTTTTTTTGACTACAAACTTTTCATCATCWGGTGGTAGTTGCTACCTTGGGTTTAAGCAACAGTCTTTCTAAGCACCTTCAAACTGCTGAAAACTGCGTACCCGGACTGCGTGTATTCCTGCATCACGGAAGCAATCCTCTGTACTAGCTGCGCTGTTGGGATGGGCTCGTGATAAACCAGGTAGTATTGCTGGGCCAGCTTCCGAGCTCGGTGCACAAGTACCCTAAAAACAAAGAGAAGAACAGGATTTGAAACACAAACAAAAACCACAATTAGCTGATACCAGTTAGTACTRAAAATAATATTAATTACAATAAATACTACAGGAGGAAATCACATATCTGGCCTAACATTGATTTAAGAAAGTATACACTTCAGTAGGATATCCTTATTAATTCAATAAAAGCTAAAGCACTTAAACTGAAACTAAGCACACAGCTGTTCATGTGCTATTCCTTTTTTACATATTTTTGTTAAGGCTTGGAGTATGTCAATAAAAACTTAAACCAGAACAAGGATTTAATATACTGATAGTATATGCACCGTAACATTATTATGCCATACGCTTAAACAGAAACAGCTAATTACTGCATTTATTAGCTTCTTCACTTCTCCAATGTAAGCATGTCTCAATGACAACAGAACAACACTTTTAAATACCTGTAATCTGGGCCCATACCACTATACACTAAACCTATATGTTTGGTAATTGGTTCTACTTTGTGGACACTCCTTTCATCATAAAGRATGGATTTCTGCTTCTTCTCAGTTGCCAACACCACTCCATTTGCAGCTGGAAAAGAAAATGGGGTTTTCCATATTAAAATCAGATTATCAAAAGCAATTGAAAACTGAACAGTTAGGTCAGAATATAAAGAATCTTGTTTCTTCTTYATCTTACAGGCCCTTCAGATTTATATTGATGTTAAACAGTGATCCTTCGATGAACTTGCCAGCACATCATATCTCATTTTAAATAAATGCATGCTTTTGCAATGCCATTTTAAACATTCTGAAGCATATATTATACCTGACCCATGGAAATATCCTTATGAGCAACTTCCATATATATAGACACAAAGCTGGAGTCCTTTACTAAAGAAAGAGAAAGCCTCAAAATGACAGATGTTATTTCTACCACTTACATGTCTCCCAAATTGCCCTAGGAAAAGATCTATGCTCCTTTGCTAAAAATTACTGAGACCTAAAAAGACAACATTAAAACCACTGAAACGTGAAAATCTACTGAAGAAAGAAGAAAGTTTGGAACGTTACAGTAGATGAAGAAATATCCAGCAAGTAGTTCAAACTGGTTTAGTTTTCTCCATTGATATTCAGGCTCCAGAACCTTTCACTGAACGTACCTTTAATTCCAACTGATGGAGCTCCTGCAGCAACCGCAGCCAAGGCGTATTCAATCTGAACAAGTTTTCCAGAAGGACTAAAAAAGAAAATGAAAAATGTTAAATGCCACAAATGCAAGCCACAAAATGATTCTAAAGTAAATTATTAAAATTAATTAGAATTAAAAATAATTCTAATAATTCGCTACTGGAGCAATCTGATGCTAACYTGACTACACACCTGATGAAAGCTAAAGTGCCTTGGATGGGGAATAGGGATTGGGATGCAGGTTGAAGGAGGACAAGTCCCTTCTCTAACCTGCAATGCTCTAAACAAGCTTTCCTCTCAGTGGGGAAATCTTCAGAGCACATAATGAATTTCTGGTAAACGCAACAGAAAGCTCCCAAATTTAAGTATTTAAATTATATTTTGCAGTTTGCAAAAGATTTCAAGACAAGGAAGTTCAATCTCAAGCCAAACAAAGCTACTTTTCTTTGACAGGTGAGCACACATCAGGTCAAGGGCACAACATGGAGCAGGTTCTGCATTCCAGCTACCCCTGCCATTGCTTTAAATAATCTATATTGTGTCAGTAATGAACGCAGACTCATCAACAGCGATGGCAGACTGTCAAAATCCCGATCCCTAGGGAAGAAGGCAGCTGGGAACAAGTGGATACAAAGGATTTGGGGAAGGGAGATCTCTCCTCTGGGTTGTATTTTAGGCACTCTGGTTTTAGCTGATGCAGAAGTAAAGTAGAAAGTCACGCAGCTCTGTACTTAGTGTAAGTAAAGAATAAAGCAAACAATAAATCATATAGCTTCCAGTACACAAAGTAAATGTGGAGAGCAAATTAAGAATTCCAACTACTCCATTACAGATTCCCAACAAAACAGAGCAAGACAGCTTCCTGTGCAACTAAAATAGAGAACACTAGCAGAATGTTTTAGAACATGTACAAAAATAAATGATGCTTAGGACAAAGGGAAGGGGAAAAAACAACTACTTGTATTCTCTTCTGTATGAATATAAAGTCAAGCAGCTTTTAGAGTTAAGGACATGAAGTGCTTCCSTAAATAACACGCTCACAAAAAAMATGTAACTCCTTTAGGAAAYAACTTCCCAAAGCCAATGAAGACTTCAACCCTGACAAAGGCCCATCTTCTGGTATTAAATTGAAAGCCACTTCATTGTCTTAATTGCAACAAGACCTTAATAACCTGTTTTGCAACTAGGCAGTGCTACCTTCCTCCAAGATGATGTGAGCACTTTGGCAGAAGCAGCACAGAAATCCCCGCTTTTGGTTTCTTTTTTGGCATGTTTATGGTATAGTATAATCCTGACATACTTAAGAGCTCTGCTGAGGAACTGTACAGAATAGTCTCTTTCTTTCCCCCCCGGCTTTCTCCGCAGCGTGTGTATGAGAGCTGCGCTCCAACAGGTACCGGCCCAGCAGCCTCGTCACCGCGTGCACACAACTCTCCCCCGCCGCTTGCCTGTTCTGGGCACGGACCGCAAGAGGAGAAGGTCCCACCGGGAGCAGCGGGAGGGGAAGGCGGCTGCTGAAGCCTCTCCCGACGGCTTCACCGCATCCCGCGCTGCTGCTGCAGCGGCTCTCCGCGCACACACCGCGTCGCCACGCGTTCCCAAGCGCCGCAGGAGCCCCTGCGCAGCTTTCCGAAGGGAAGGGCGAGGGCGGCCCAGCGGAGCGGCCGTTAACGGTAACCGAGGGGGACGCGGCCCTCCCC